GCTTCTGTAAAATAAATTTATTCAAAAAAATTGAAAATATCTATCCATGGATATAGTCGTTTTATTATATTGAATTCACTATACTAAAAAAATGAATTTAAAGTACGAAAAATTTTCTGTTCCGTCTCTTGATAATGCGAGGCTTTAAGCCAAAAAATGTTTGCACCATAATTTACACTCACATCAGCCGTAGTCATATTGCACTCAATAACATTATTTACGTTGCCATTTGAAAAATATTAAGTTGACATCTCTATAAGTTATAATGCATGATTTTAAAAATTATTTTATAGCTAATAAATAAAAAAATATTATAGAATGAACTTTTTTTTTTCAACGAAAGTACTCAGTCACGAGACTCCGGTAAAAATATGTTGAATTTTACTTTTTCGAAAAAAAGTTTTATGCACTGATATGTTTTTAGGAAAAAAAATGTAGTTTTCGTAAGTATAAATGTAACAGTTCGATTTTATACTTTAAAAATATTTAGAAATGTGAATTTCATAGTATTTTTTTCATAAAATTATTATATTTTTCAATGATTAATATTCATGTTTCTTAGTAATTAGGGACCACGTTGTTCAGCGGTTTTTATCGTAGATATTTCAGTAAAAGTTTTTGCTCTGGAGACATGTGTCCAGGTGTTGTACATAGTCACAACTTTAGTATAGTTTTTATAATACGATTTATTTTTATATGTTGTGGTGTTGTAATACTCAACATGCAATATGAAATATATGATATAATAAATAATAGTCTTATTAAATCTATTATTGAACGATATGTATTTGAAAACATAGATATACAAGGCGATGACCAAAATGCAAATGGTAGATTAAAACTTAATTAACTTTTTATTTTATTTAAAATTAATTTGGAATTTAATGAAAATTTGTTATAAAGAATCCAAGTAAAACTTTTTGTCTGATTGAGGCATTGTGTAGTTGAGGCATCAGAGTGTTTCCAAATAGATTTTTTCTACTCTGTATTTGGTATAGATAAATGTGTTATTGTTTCAAATAATTTATTAATAGTAATAAGTCCACCAATATATATAAAATTTACATGAATTTAACTTATATTAAATATACATTTATATACTTATTTTGATTATTTTGCCTTATCAAAGTTAAGAAAAGCTACTTAGAATTTTTGAATTTTTTCAAATAGTTCTTTTTATATAAGCATACATGTAGTCTATAGTGACTGCATCGTATATTTCACAGCCTTATACGTATGGAGTACGACTTTCGAACACCGCCAGTCTAAATAACTTTTTTTTGCATTTTTCTTAATTTTTGTATGAGGTAGAAAAAAAATTCAAAATGAATAATAATAAATAACGTTCAATAAAAATACTCAATGGGTATCGAGGATTTTATCACTTAAGTCTTCCCTTGTGAGAATGACTATCTTATTAAATTATATTACTATATACTTTTTTTTATGCGTCTGTTTTAATGACCAATACTTTAAAAGTATACGGTTTTTATCTAGTTAAACTTATAATTCCCTAATATTGGAAAAAATCATTTAACTTTAGCAATTCAGTCAACATCTCAAAATTTTTTAAAAAATGTCCACTCCCAAAAAATTTTTTTTTAATTAAATAATATATATAATAAATGTCTCAAAATTTATAATATATAAAAATTATAATATAATATATAAAAATTTATATATAATAAATATCTCAAAATAGGAGTATAAAATTCGTTTGTATACTGAAGTGCACAGTATAATCAAATCAATAAAATATAATATATTGTTATTACTACTAATTAGAAACACATGAAAAAATTAATTAAAAAAAATTTCTTTTATCAAGTTATTATTAATTTTTAATCTTAAAAATAATACATACAAAATTTAAACTCAAAATGACATATTTAACTTATTATTAAATAAGGAATATTAGATTCTTTAGTTAATTTTTATGAAAGTTTATAATTTAAAAATGTTGAACTTGGAACACAATATCAGCTCAACTTGTAAGTGAAGAAATTATATCATTAAATAGATAATTTTATGTAGAATAAAATATTCTATGTTTCAGAATGATAACTATTAACAGTAAATTTACAAGGAAAACTCAAAATTTTGATGAAAACGTTTTATGATAAGAAATCATTTAAATAGATGTTTAGCAAACATTTCTTTGCATTTCTTGGTGTTTGAATAATTATTCATAATAATATACTACACATAATACATTTTGTTTGTTATGAATTTTTTAATTAAAATATTAAATATTTTTAATATTAAAATATTAAATTAAATATTTTTTGATTATTCAAATGTAATATAATAAACAAATATNTTGATTATTCAAATGTAATATAATAAACAAATATAAATATTTGTTATATTAATTGAAGGTTTTTGTTATTTTTTAGTGAATAAGTGAAACTTTCATTGTAGATTTTAAATATATAAAATGCTATAACTTTTTAAAAAATGTATGGATCAATACAATTTTTTCATTAAAAGTAGTATTTATATAAATATTTCATTCGACGTTTTTTTTTATTATTAAAATTCATAATGTGTGATAAGAAATTCTAAATTGTTTAGTGCGTAATTAATAACCTACATACATTAAATTTCTTAGGATAAAATTGCGATTTTTACAATAAATATTTAACACTAATAAATAAGTATTGGTGTCATTAAACAGCGTTTTACAAATTAAGATTGACTATAAATATATTTATGATACACAGAATACTCTTTACTATATTTATGTTATGAATGCGTGTACGCACTATAGCTGAAAGGGCTACTGGGCTCACAAGGCCTTAACTGGTAAAATAACAGAAACAATTTTTCATTTGAGATGAACAACAATAATTATATTCTGATAAAACAATGAATGATTTATTTTTTCCTATAATGAAAGATGAATGTTAATAAAAAAATATATTATTATAACATTAAACGATACATAATCTTAACAGTTAGTAAACATTTAACAACATTTATATATAATTTCTCAAGGAATATATTAAATGACTTAAATCTCAATTCACAAAAAGTATAAATGTATATAAATATAGATATAATATATTATTATAACTTGCCAATAGAAAAGAACAAGTTATTTACATTAATAAATACTTATGCATAAGTGGATGAGGAACAAATTTATGGTTTGACTTCTTTTATTTAGTTTAGCAATTTTTACTTGAGATGATGTTGCTGTTAGGTACACATATCCTGACAAATGAGCAACCACAATTGGCTGAGAACAAAGTATCCACAAAAGGATTATTTAGAAGAACCTATTTCTTCTTTCTTCATATATCTGAGCAACCACAATTGGCTTAGAACAAAAAAAAATCCATATAAAAAGGATTTATTCAGAAGAACATCTTTCTTCCATTAACACATGAAGTTCCATAACCATAAAAAAAATCAGTCTTTTATCACAAAAAAAACAACATGAAATGTGATAGCTTTACACAGTGTCGCCCTATTCTGCGGCGCGAACAATAGCGAATATGAACTTAAATTCAATTTGATATGTGCATTTCCATATGTAACGAAACAAAAATTACCTGTTTAGTTTTGATGTCTATTTGTATACATATATGTGTGTGTGTATGTGTTCTAAATTACCTTGGTTGAGCCGAATGCGTGCTGCGACGGAGTTTAACATTTAAATAATCATGATAAGGTGATGTGATTTTTTTGTGCGCGTACGAGATAGTCATTTGTGTACTACTTCGGACCGGTTCATGGACGGCATTTGTTTGTACACTCACCCCGCTTCTTTCCTATCTTGAACGTCATTTTCACTGCTCACCACATACATTGTCTCAAATTGTTTTCAATAATTTCCAACACTGAGAAATAAAATTTGTTGACCCCACTCTGAAGGCTAGTCGTGTTGTCGCAATCGGATCATTGGGTCGAACGACGGACGTTTTGTCGGAAATTAGTCAATTTTGGAACTATTCGTGGGTTAATTTTTGTCCGTAGTGGTGTGTTTTTATTTTTTAGTTGTGTGCGTTGCAACCAATTGTTTCTCTTAATATTTGTTTTTTTGTGAGTGCCCACTATTTTAAATATATAATTTTTTTAATTTTATGGCGTCGGCTGAACCTGCCTCCTACTCTTTAGCCCTTTGGGGCTAGTAATAAATATATTTTTTGTAGATATTTTAAGCGAGATTAATTTTTCTGTGCGCTGTGCCATAATCACGTGTGGCGTATTTTTTTTATTATATTTTTTTTTGTAGGTTTTTATTATAATTTATTAGGTTTATATTTTTTTATTAATATCTGTTTTTTTATTTCTCTTTGTTCCTTTAATTTGTAAACGAGGTTTTTTGACCGTTCGGTTTATTGCTTCGTGTTAACTTAAATTTTTTTTTGTTGTTAATAAAATCCCCTTAATTTAACTTAACTATTATCTTATTTTAGCTTTGATGCGAAGCTGAGAAAGTATTGGTTTTACTATGATGTGTTTTTTTTTTTTTTGTGTGTCTGTTACCACTTTTTCTCAGCTCTCACCGAACCGATTTCTTTCAATGATAC